AGCAGCACATCAGCTTGTGGGTAGCGAGGTGCCCAGTGGCACCCTCAGTTCCCAGTGAGATGCCCTGGCAAGTCTTCAGAGTAGGAAGTTGGATAATCCCAAAATAGTTTATGTCTAAATGACCATCTAAGTACTTCATGCCCAGAGGAGCAATTTTAATGAAAATCTGGAACTGAGGCCTTCAGTAATGATAAAGGAGACCAGAATGGAAGACCAAAGTTTATTTTTTCCCTTTAACTTTTAATACTGAAAAATGAGTTGCCTCTAGAGTCCTAGCAGTAAGCCCCATTCTTCCCTTCAACTGGTAAGAAATGTGGGAATAGCTCCAGGTCAGCCTGTGGGGAACTTTGAAAGTCTCTTTCAAAAGGGATTTGTTTTCATACATTAAGCAGGGAAGCAGAGTTTAAGAACAAATGAACGAACAAGCTGAAGCAGGTTAAAAGTGTGGTGTGGAAGGCAGCAATCCCTTCCACCAGCAGTTAACCCAAAGAAGCAGAGGTTCTTACCGATGAGCTGTGTTCCTGGCCTAGGGGAGAGAACAAAGACTCCTTTGCTGGAGGAAATGTAGGAGAAGGAAGAGGATTTATGTCGCCAAGAAAGAGATAGGACAGAAAGGGAAGTAGGGGGAAGCTGGGCAGTGGGTTGACTAATTTGGTAGTCTGAGAGGTGTTGATATTCTGGGTAGAGGGAAATGGAGCAGTGTGAAGGGAGGCAGATAAAAAAAATTGGAGCTAGAAGACAAGAAGAGATCAAAGTAATAGCATTTTTAAACCCACATTTCTAATTGGCTGTGATTTGAACATACATGAAAGAGAGATGCTGTATCTCAGGGTGTGAAAATATCTGTCTCTGGAGTATTTGCAGTTAAGACCTTTGGGACACCTAATTAATAACCCTGGAAGTCAAATGGGGACAAATGATCTTCCTGGAAATAGATGAGGTCTCCAGCTGATGATCTCTTAAGTTAGAGCCAAGACTTCATCATGCAATGGCAAAAATGAAAGGAATTAAGGCGGGCATCTGCTACTGGTCAGGTGCTGCAGCCGTGCTCTGAGACACTGCAGTTACCGTCAGTGCTGCAGCTTGCCACAGAACGAGCAATGGTCCTTTGGCTCTCTCCCCTGGCCACCCGGTGAGCCGCAGACACGCTACCGGCTGCCAGAGGATATTTATCAGAAGTTCATTAAGTGCTGCAAGACTCACTTGGAGGATGCGCAGTAACTGAAATGGGAAGGTTATTTAACCCGGCTTCAAACAGTGAAGACCCTTTTTGTTAACTGTTCCATGTATGTCTTTGTACTGCTCTTTTTTTTTTTTTTTTTTTTTTTTTTTTTTTAATTAAGCTGCTAGCTAGAAGTACAAACAGGCTTTTTGTTACAGTCAAGTTGTAATTTTGGCCTAGCTGCTTCAGCACAGCGCTTCAGCATTGCTTTGTGTGCATGTGGTTCCTCTGTGTTGCTCTGAGATCTGGTTGTTCCTCTGAGGTGGCATGGAATGGCGGTAACAAGCCGTGCTTCCTCTGCGAGGCAGCCCTCCCTGGGGATTTCTATAGCTGAGTGTCAGAGGGGCAAGATTCCCACCTGTTGCTGAAGGTCTCGGATCGTTCTCTAGGTGCAAGCTTGCTCTTCAACATGCTGCTTTATGGCCACATAATTAATTACTACGTGGGCAAGAAATGTTTTTACTGGTGGTGTTGGAGAACATGACCTCAGGATGAGGGAGCTTTGGTCAGGTTTGTAACATCTGGAATGGATAAAGGGATGCTAAAACATTGAAGGTCGTACCTAGCTATACTAAATTTTTCAGTCCAGTTGGAAAACCTGTTGTTTTGTCCGTGTGTGAAAGCGGGACTAGCTTTTACATCTGAAGCTGGTGGCTCTTGTAGGAGTGTCCAGACTTAACTCATCATTGGCAAGTAGTAACTTTTCTAGATGTGCGAGTGGAATGAAACTAGTGTGAAGTGAGCATGCTTTATACGGAAGGCATTGACTCATAGACACCTGTGGTATCACTTATTTTACAGATATAAAAACACAAACGTTTTTATTTTTTCAAATAACTACTACTGTAGGTTATAGGACAGACAGGGTAATGCTGTGTAATCCACAGGAAAAAAATCTGATTTGCAACTCAGAATAAAGATCTGATTATCAAAATTTATGGGTTGTGGCAAGAAAAGTTGAAAGGGGAATCCCATCCCAGAGAGCACTGGTTTTTGATACTCTCTCTCGGACAAAGTCCATCTTGTTTAGCAAAGGGTTCTGTGCCTTGACACAACTCAAGCAATCTGGGTGAAGCGTGCTGCAAGGGAAGGTCCTGGGATCCTCTGCTACTTGATTTCATCAAGTTCAGGACTTATATCTGAGCTGATCGAGGATCAGTGAGCTAGAGGCAGTCAAGAGTTGAGAAAGTGGAGAGGTGCCTGAAGCCTCAGTTCTCACGGTGACACGTGAAGATTGTCACAGCCAGAACAAGCTAAATGCAGTTTCTGCCTTGTAGAGACAGTTCACATAGCAGGTATTAAGCTTATTAAGTGAAGGAGATCCAAGTGACGCTATCTACTTCTGATCTAATTGTTCTCCAAGAGAGATAGCGTTTTAATAAGCTTGCAACAGCTTCTGCCTTTCAGCAAATTAAGTAAGTGGGTCATTTCTTCCCTCAGCTCGCTTGAGGGTGAGGGGAAACTGTCACTGCTAAAGCTAATGCAGCTTTTATTCAAGATTAGAGCAAAGGATCTGTTGAGACCTTTTTTTAGCCTTGGTGTGCTTGTAAGGCACACAGCCACGGGAAGATCTTTGAAGACATTTTTACTGTAAGTCGTACTGCTACATAGGAAAAAAAAATTAAAAACATTCCTGCTTCTTCCTATGAAAAATATTTACTGTACTGATATTTATAGCAGGCAAAAGCACTTCAGTGCTGAATAAAACAAAGCAAGAGCAATACTTCATTTAAGTTTTCCAAAAGAATCCGTCTGCAAAGTATATTTTATGGCAAGTACTGGAAGAAAAGGGTGAAGCTGACTGGGAAGTTACCAGTTAATTTCTGTGTCTTGTTTACCTTTCATTAAAATACAGCAGAAAGGGTTCACTGTTGTGCTATAGCAGGGATGTGTGATTGTTGTGCTATAGCAGGGATGTGTGATTTTGAGCATGCTAATACCAAGAATTGCTTTGTGATGGGGAGAGTCCCCAGCCTTTTCTGTTATTCCACCCTCGCTTCACCTTCAAAATTGCCCTTTAAGGACATGAAGCAGTGAACATCAACTGTCATGTGTCCAGGGTGAAAGAAGAATCCCAGCCCTTTCCACTTCAGAAGAGCTCTGCAGTGATGGCAGTGTCATATAAATCATGCTGTTTTGCCACAGTTTGGTTTCTTTTGTTGGAGAGTTAGTGCTGAAAGCAAGGATCTGGGTAAAATGGTGTAAGGATCATCCAGATATTAAATATGATCACCCTGTGAGAGTGATGGGAGTCTTGTAGCTGTGACAGTTTAGCTTCTGCTGGTAAACAAAGGCTACCATAATCGGTGTGATGGCTCTGTGCCCTGGCAGTGGTGGAACAGTACCACACTGATGGGACGCTCTCGGCTGGCCTTGGGAAATCAGGGCTGTTTATGCAAAAGTAAAATGGAAATTGAGGGCTTTTTGGTGGTGGTGACGTTTTTGTTTAGTTTGGGGTGGGTCATTTTTAATACAGATCTGAGTACAGTATTATCCTTGCTCTCAAGTCACAGCTTTTTACTACGTGTAGTTTCTTCTAGAAACTGCCATAAAGGGTCTGAATGGAAACTCCAGCTTCTTGTATGACTTTCTATGGTAGGTGAACAAGGATTTGACCTATTAAAGGTACCATCTTACAGGTCTACGTTGTGGTGTTGCTTCTAGAACTGTTTAGCTCCAGATGACTAGATACCTCCATTAATGGGCAGTTGTATTATTTCTCCTCCTTGCAAAATCCATTTGAGGGAAGATCCTAAGAGAAGATAACCCTAAAGGAGAAGCACTGTATTTCACCCCCTGAGAGCAAGTGAGGGCAGCCAGCACCATGAAAAGGAAGCTGGCTCAGGCTAGCCCGTATGAAATGTTTATGGCAGGGATGCTTGAAGATCTGCCTTTCTGTGCGGTGTTAGGAGCATCTCATCTCTGGTCCAGAATCTCCACCAAAGGAGCCTCCCCTTCTGGCTTCCAGGGACACAGTTTGCTGTTTCTGGGTCACATCTGTCTGGTATCTGTTCACCAAGGAAGTCAGGTTCCTTGCCTCTAAAACCCTTTCTGGGGAATTTCAAATCCACAGTTGCTAGAGGAGTCCTGCATTCTAGGCTGCTTAAAAGTGCCTCAGCTCCTCTGCTTGGAAGCAGATCATCGCCCTCATCCTGCCAGGGTCAGGAGCACACACAGAGAGTGTGCTACTGCTTCGCGACACAGCACCTTGTTAGTTTGCCTGAAAGGAAGCACGTCTGTGTGGGGAATCTGGGACTTCCAGTTGCCAGACTCTACTTACCAGCCACACAAGTACAATCACGTATGGGCTCTGTAAAGCACATACCTGTGGCATTTCTTGCTCTTCAAATGATGTTTTAAAATAACAAATGCAGCTGCCTGTTGTGAGGAGCCAGCTCTCCTAGGCATGCGTAGCAGTGCCCAGGGAGCAATACTGCACCCTGCTTTGCAGTACTGGCCAGGTTTGTAGTGCCACACAACTGTCAGAAAGAGTAATACTTAAAGTAATTTAGAGCCTAGGCATCATCTTTAGCTAGGGGAGAGAGCAGCTTAATGTCACTAAAGGTAACTCCCTTCTCTGCAGACTTGCTGGGGAATTCGGGCATTTCAAGTTTGAGAAAGGCCACTGGCCATGAAGATTAGGACTGGGGTTGGGGGAAAGAGGTCTGGAATGGGTGGTGTCACCAGTAACTTGAAGCTCGAACAGTCACTAGTTGAGACAGATCACCTCCTCGTGATAGGGAAATGTAAAAGATGGCAGCAGAGACAATTTTTTTTCCCCAAAGACTTTTATTAATAAACACCTGGAACATTTACAAGTTAACTATGGGCCTTACCTTATGTGGAAGTATTGCTTTATTTACTCTGCCTCATCTTTCACAACTATCTGAATATCGGCGCATCTACAGCTGTTGTGTCTCTCCTCTCTCCCCACCTCATTTTCCGGCATAGACGCATGTTTACAATCCACCTATGCAACACCTGTGCCATACCAATGAGCACCACTCCATACACAAGAGTTACTACACTGTCATGGTTTAACCCCAGCCGGCAACTAAGCACCACACAGCTCACTGTCCCCGCGGCAGGATAGGGGAGGGAATCAGAAGAGTAAAAGTGAAGAAAATTAACCCAGCCCAAACCAGCACATACACTAACACAGCTCTGTTGTAGCCTAGGTGCTGGGCCATAGAAAGAGGCTCCTGAACACTGTTGGTATATGATTTCAAGTCAGATGCAGGATCACCAGCTTCTCTCAATAAATAAATTTTATCTTCTAACAGGTTCCAGTGTAGCTTAAGATTCTGAAGATAAATAAAAGAAAGTCTTTTAACATGAAGATTGGCCCTTTACTGAAACAGCAAGATGGACAAGACTACAAGTTTAAACCATTTAGAAAAGTAATAACTTGAAACAGAGGAGGAAATACTCCCTAGTTAGGGGTGTCCTCTGGAGGGAAGCACAGACGAGACAAAGGTAAGTCACTGTGTGTCTACAGGCTGTATGTATGTAACAGACACATGCACATTCATCTGGAAGAGTGAGGATATTACTATATGATGTAATTAGCCTCTATTTCCTCACCTGCTCTTACTGGAGGGGGCCTTCCTCACACTGTGCTGCTGTTATCCATTCACTTTTAATGAAACTGTCATCTCAAGTCATGTAAAAATGAGAAGACAACACTACTATGAGCTTAGATTTGTTCACATCTAAACTGCATTAAACTTCCTTTGTACTGAAACAGAAAAAGATTTAAGAGAATCTTGCTGGGTAGTTGAGCCTCATTCCCTTTGGTACTTGCACAAGCTTAACATGAAATAAATAAAATTAGCATGCTGCCAGGGCAAGTTGTTTTACAAACACAAGTGTTTTGATTTAAATACTAAGGCCTCCACATTCATTAGAGGATTAAATCCTTAAACACAGGGGTTAGTGAAAGGATAAAGCTCATTGCCTTCTGGTTTTCAAACCCCGACATGGCAAGAACACCACGACGACAACACTGGCTCCTTTCTTCCTCCCTTGGAGGCTCCTGATTAACAAGCGCTTGAATGGCAAATGTAGCTCCAAACAAGTACCCGAAATAATGTTTAGTCAACAGTACTTCCTCATCCTTCAATAGCTTCCAGCTTCCAAAGTTTTCTCTAAAATAAAATAGTGGCAAGTTAAGTCACTGCAATACCAGGTGCCATTCCAACACATCACAGCAGTCTATCAGGGTCTTGGTTAAAACTAAAGTCACACACCAGAGACAGGTGATCGGAAGGGTAATTGAATGATGGCAGCCTGTTGGGCCCAATTTGCTCTTCAGTCAGCAAGCCCAGGGCTGAGTTCACATTCAAGGCGTGCTGGGAATACCAGATATAATCCAGCGTGTGCCGGCACTCTCCCGATGGCCGGATCTTCCAAGTGGTGTATGGGGGCTCCGACTGCCCGTCGGGGCTCAGCAGCTTGTACGCACTGTTTAAATTGAGGCTGGAGTTGGAAAATTCTCTGTAGACCTCCTCAGTTGGCTCCGCGTTGAAGTCTCCACAGATGATCAGAGGGATCTTTGCACCTTGGGTAATATTCTTCAGGTTCTGGAGAAGATCGCAGCCTTGTGCTGACCGAAACCTCTCCCAGCCAGTACGAGCTTTCAGGTGAGTGACAGCAATGCAGAACAGCCGTCCAGTTTCATTGCACTTCAGCGTCTGAGCTATGGCCACCTGGTTGGTTTTCAGCTTCATGGCGGTTAGCCGGATGTTAGCGCTGTTGATGAGCTCAAAGCGGTCCTTGAGGAAAAACAAGGCGCAGCCATCCGGCCCGTTGTTCTGCTCCACATCTAGGCACGGGGACCACGGCTTCGGGAAGAAAGTACACTGGTAGCCGAGTCGGCTGAGGAGTGGCTCAAAGGTGTCAAAGTAGTGGTCGACTTCTTGCAGGCACAAGATGTCAGGCTTGTACGCAAGGATTTCTTCCAGGATGAGGCACTTCCTCTCCTCCCACTTCAGAGCTTCCATGGGGCACTGAACAAAGTTGTCTTTGCCTTCTCCAAGAGCTGAAATGAGCAGGGAAGGGGAGAAAATAAGAAGTTACCCATAGCTAAAACAGGCTGTCTTCTGCAGGTTTTGTGGAGGCCAGCGGCAAGGCCCTGCTCCGGGGAGCCAGCTGCCACCTTGCAGCAGCCCCGCATGAGAGCGGGCAGCCTGGCACGGTGCAAGAGGAATAGAATAATATAATGGGAAGTGGCATGAGGCTTTCGCCACACTTTGCTTTCCCTGTAAAACGTGTACATCAGTTTACGTGCAGGTGATGGGTTTTTCAGTAGCTGATGACTTTTAAGGATGCCAGGCTTGCTAATGAGGTGAGAACCCCTTCTCAAAACACGTCTCAAAAAAAATGACATTCCCTTTACAGAAACAAGTTAAAGACTACTTCTCCCTCTGCCCAAAAGTCACTATGCTGTGGCAAGTGCTTCCACATGTGGCTGTCACAGCTTAAGCCTAAGAAAAAATGCAGCAGGATAGAAGTGACTTTAACTGCAGAATATAAAGGCAGTCTCTATGTGGGGGATTTCCCACCCTGAAAGATTTTAAGATGAGGCTGTTGCATAAGTCAATTTACAGCCTGGATTTTAGGGGTCTGAGGAAAAAAAAAATCAGAATTAGCTTGAAGAATTAAGAATTCCCATAATGGATCTGAATCCCTGAATAACTCACTGATAAACTAGTTGGAAAACTAGAGAAGCTTTACAATAAATAAAACTTAGGGAAGGATGAGTCTTTTCTGAAGGTTAACAACTATTTAAAAGTGAAGGGTCAAAGCTTTTTGAAAATACTGTGTTAAGACAGGCATTCAGAGCTACCTTTGGCATCATGGTTGCAAAGAGAGAACTGTTTTCCCTTCCTACAGAATGGAAGGCAAGCTACTCTTTCAAGTGCTGAAAATCTCGCCCACAGCCCTCGGTCAGTTGTGCCTCAATGTAATTCACCCCTCTGCCTTTGCTCTGCCAGTGCCAGGCAGACGGAGACATGCCTGCAGTTAGAGGCTTCATTGCTGCATTTGATCTCAAGGTCACACCTTGAGCTTAGAGGCAGCTCCTACCTTGGGCAAGGATGTTCCACTGCATGACCCGAATGGGGCGGTGGTTAGTGACAGTGTTTTTCTTCAGGTCCACAAAGTTCCTCTGAAACCGGGGTGGCCGTTTCTGCAGAACAATCTGACATTCCTCCAGCAAATCCTTGGGGTCTATAGGATCCAGCCGTGCCGAGTCCGGCTGCTCCAGGCAGTCCTGGTGCTGGGACACGGCACTGCTGCTCAGCGTCTTGGCAAGCGCACTGTAGAGCCGGCTGGTGCTGTTTCCCATGGAACACACTGGAAAGGAAAAAGAAAATGGTTAGAGGTGTCCAATGTGACTCTTTTCGCCACTCAGGCAACTTACAGACAACCTTGTTACAGCGCCAACAATTTATGGTTTGTGCAGGAGCCTGTTCCTGAACCTGAGATAAAATAAGGATACAGAGGTAGGGTTAGTTCTGTGCACAGTCTCACTGTGTTTTACTTACTATCAGGGGCTGCTAACCTCTGTAGCATGCAAACCATCTGGTTTAAGACATAGTGCAGGTGTCTTCTTAAGGGAAGGAAGGAGTCTTTCATCCAGAATAGTGGGGCCGAGATTAACTTCTGCACATGTTGTAGGAAACAGAATGGAGTGTACTTTTCCCCTCCTCACAATATGGGGAGCCCAGCAGGTAGACAATTACTATCTGCTCCTTATTTCAGGTGCAGCACTAGTCGCTAATGAGCAGCAATGGCACTCTGCACAGCTGGTACCCTGTGCCCATGTGGGATGCCTCTGGGCTGTGGGCCTGCAGAGCACTCATTCCCTCAGGTTAGTATTTAATAGGAATCTCAGATCACAGCTTCATTTGCCCAAAAGCAGAAACGTCAGAGAGGGACCTGGGGGTCCTGATTGACAGCCAGCTGAACAGGAGCCAGCAGTGTGCCCTGGGGGCCAAGAAGGCCAATGGCATCCTGGCTTGTGTCAGCAATAGCGTGGCCAGCAGGGACAGGGAAGGGATCTCACCCCTGTACTCGGCACTGGTGAGGCCGCCCCTTGATTCCTGTGTTCAGTTTTGGGCCCCTCACTCCAAAAAGGACATTGAATGACTCGAGCGTGTCCAGAGAAGGGCAACGGAGCTGGTGCAGGGTCTGGAGCACAGGTCGTAGGGGGAGAGGCTGAGGGAACTGGGGGGGTTTAGTCTGGAGAAGAGGAGGATGAGGGGAGACCTCATCGCCCTCTACAGCTCCCTGAAAGGAGGGTGCAGAGAGCTGGGGATGAGCCTCTTTAACCAAGGAACAAATGATAGGAGAAGAGGGAATGGCCTCAAGTTGTGCCAGGGAAGGTTTAGACTGGCTGTTAGGAAGCATTTCTTTCCAGAAGAGGTTGTTGAGGTTGGAATGGGCTGCCCAGGGAGGTGGTGGAGTCCCCATCCCTGGAGAGGTTTAGGAGTCACACTGACATAGCGCTGAGGGATCTGGTGGTGTTGAGAATGGTCAGTGTGAGGTTAAAGGTTGGACTGGATGATCTTCAAGGTCTTTTCCAACCTTGATGATTCTGTGATAATAATTTCTGCTGGCTTAGACTTGGGATGTGGAGCGGCAGAGGGGGTCCCCCCAGCTCCCCTTCACGCACCTACGCTCCTTCCCCTCACCCTCCTGTCTCCCTTCGGCCCATCTGCTCTGCGCCCCAGCTCAGCAGCCTCCTGTGCACCCTGCGGTCCTGCAGCCCTGCCCGGGGCCCAGCAGCCTCCTGCTCCTTTGGCACATGTCCTGCAAAGCAGCAGCTGTCCCCCAGCTCTCCCTATTCATGCCTGCTAACAGTTAGCCCCCCCCACCGTGTTGCCTGCAGGGAGGTCCCCCCATCCCACACAGGGTCACAGCTGCCACAGTGGGGGTGTGTATGTCCCCCCACACTCTGTATTGCCCTTTGGCTTACATGCAGGAGGCAGCTGCAGCCCTCTGCCCTTAGCAGGGGTCAAGCAGCAGAGCTATGCCTTTCAGCCCTCACAACTACTGCGCTATAAATACCTCCTTATCCCACTGCACAAGAGCACAACCAGGACCCGCACAGCTGCAAATGCCCAGAGACTCACTTAGTACAACCACACAGCAAACCCAGCATGCAGGGCCACATTTCAGGGGAGCTGTGGAGGAGTCTGCACCAAGTTTATGATATTCTTACACATCCCCGCAGTAAGTCCTTGGCACGGCCGTGCATGCTCCAGGATGTCTTCCAACACTTCCTCAGGCAGAGGGTTTTGCTCTGAAGTGCCACCCCTGCCACAGTGTGTGGGAAGTACTCGAAAGCAGGCTGTGTTTGCACTTCTCCATGCGCAGTGCTCTGCTCACCAAGTGCACCTGGACACTTGGTTTCCCTTCAAACACAGGTAGGAAGGGCAGCACTGGCACCACAGCAGCTGGCAGAAGAGGCAATGCTGACAGTTTCCTTGTTGTCTCAACTAACTTACTCTGCATTTTGCAAAAGTAATCTTGAGCAAAAGAACTCCAGTGTTTTGTTGCTGTCGGCCCACAGCAGTTAAGAAAGTTTATTTGTACCTCTGAGTTACTTAAAAGGGGAAGAAACTTGTCCTCTCATGTCCACAACTTGTGGCAGCTTTGGGGTGCTACCCAGCACACTTGTGTGTTCAGTCTTTGCTAGACTGAACTACAGCATTACCAATTGTAAGAGCTCGTGACAGACCTGGTTAGAGGGGAAGGCAGGAAGATAGAATCCCTTTCAGTTCCATAAACATGCTTAGAAGGAGTAAAAGAGAAGAAAGACCTCGCAGCAGAAGCCTCATGTGCTTGTCTTCAGGAAAATGGGTACTTTTAATGACACTAAAAAACACTTGCTTTAACATATGTTTTGTGTATGTAAGCCAGTAGAAGAGTGCTTTTGTTCTAAGAAAGTTGTAAACTGGGAATTGGAATTGGTTGTAGGACATCTCTCCCCACCTCTGTTTCCATCCTTTTAAAGTTTAAAGTGCCAGGAGTTCCTCAAACTGAGATGTGAGCTTGGGCTCACAAGCATGAACATCCTTCTAGGGCAACTGTGCTTAAAGCATTTCAGTTTCTGCAGTCTTTCTCTAGTTTACAATTCTTGTCAAGAAGCCAAATACTGCTGAAGTAGAAGAAATGACATTTAGTAGCAAGGGAAGCAGGCCCAAATACAAAATCCCTAAGCAGGACCCTGACACGGCTGCGAGGAGCAGGAACAAAAGCATGCTCTGTACTGGTTACCGAAGGGTCCAGCTGATGTGCTACCAGCCAGCCATGCAGAAACCCAAAGAAATCAATACAGCTTTTAACAAAACCTCCACAGGGAGCTCCTTGCCTATTTTTGAGGCAGGTACAACCCTACTAAGTGCTGCAGCTGGAAAGAAGTACACAGTGCTTTCCACTACCTCAGGGGAAGCCGCCAGCAGCCGAGTACAGGCACAAGCCATACACCCTGCACAGCTCTGCCCCCACAATGCCCACCCCTGCCCTTCCCTGGCACAGCACTAGCAGGGCGGTGGGAAGCCCACACGAAGGCAGCACCTTCTGCACTGCCCCTGCTGTGCCATGGATGAATGTGGCTCAGGCAGGGCTCTCCAAAGGAATAACAGGGAGTTATCCTGCTCCAAGAAGTCATTAGCAAAAAAGAGCCCAGGCTGCTCATTGCTTGGCCTGAATCAGAGGGAGGATGCTGAAAGGGACAAGAGAGGTGCAATGCATCTGGAAGCAAAAAGTCTACCAAAGTGCTTGAGCAGCTTCCATCTGTTACAGCAGGATGAAGTTTGAATTCAGTCATGAACCTGCCAAGCTACAAACAAAGTCAGAAGATTGTCTACATTTCATCGTCTCTGGGGTCATGGGGTATCCAGCTCTTTAAGGGGAGTCAGGCATAGCCTAACCTGCACAGGATGTGTTGCAGCCCAGATCTGACACCTTTTAAAGACAGTGATGTCTCAGGAAGGAAAAAGAGCTTCTGTCGTTTGAGATCCCAGGGAAAGATGGGTGAAAGAGGGCCTGGGCTGTAAATCAAACCCTTTCAGGCCTGTTGGAGGTGGCTTGGGAGTCCTTGGCTAAAGGGGCACTCCAGTGGTTAAAACTCCAGCTTAAGACAACTGATAGACTGCACAAGTATTTGTCCGCAGAGTGCTGAAACAGCCACAACAGACTGAACTGTTTGTCAGAACAGGAGCCAGACCAGCAACCTAAAGACTGAAACTTCAAACACAAAATCCATTTGTTGTTTTTGCAATGCTTAACATGTCCGTGGCAGTGAGGCAAGTACAAGGTCACCATTCTGAGATCCTTACAGTCCAAGTTAAACAACCTGTAACTTGCTGGGATAATGTCTGCTGCCAGCACTGTGACACCGTGGTGCTGGTGTAGGCAGAGGAACAAGCGGACTCCTGAGCTTGCACTTTAGCAGTGGGTGGTGAACATCGAAGCGATTCTCTTGGTGCAATGTTGCAATAGGGAACACCAGCTCAGCAATTACTATTCAAGGTGCTTAAAGTAAAAAAAAAAAACCTTTCTCTCAGCAAGGGTGGTGCCACAGCACAGTAAGAGCAGGGGAAGAATTTCAACTGTTCATTACACTTCAGAAGAACAGGGTGCAAAGCTCAAGGTTTCTTGTGTCATCTGGCAATAGCACAGGAGAGATGAGCATCTAGGATCTAGGCAGCGAGCAGTCACGGACTTTATTTTCAGGACTTTGCTTCAAAGATGAGTGTGCAGCAGGGTACAGGCAGACCTGTTGGAGCCAGGGCCCTTACGTTCTGGTTCCCCTTCCTTTCACCTCCGACCTCCCAGCACTGCTTTGGCCGAGAGCCCCCACCTTGTTCGCTGCAGGGATTTCGCTGTAGGGCGCAGGGCTCCACCACACCTGCAGCTGCTCTGTAGTTGCATCAGCCTCCCCAGGCAAGGAGGCTGGCCAAGCGGCCCCAGATGCCCTCCCTGCAACCCCAGTGCTAAGGAGGAACTTGGCAGATGCCATCCCCATGTGACAAATCCTATGCTGCAGGGTTATCAGACTACATGTACAGCCTTGTTTGGGCCAGCTGCGGGACCGCAGCCCCGGGGCCACCTGCATTCAAAGCGGCAGTTGCTGCTGCTTGGAGTTCCAGTCCTGGTTTTGGCAGCTAGGCCAGTCTTACACACTGGGGAGCTGGGACCTTCCCACAGGGATTCGGAAGCTCATCGCAGCGAGGGAAGCACTGCCTAGTCATCAGGCACCACCAGAAAGAGGAGGGAACCTCAAATCCTGCCCTGAGTGATACACAGTCTTGGCACAAGCTAGCCCTTCTCCTGAGCACTGTCATCATGCGCTCCACTCTGCCAGCTTGCAGGCGCATTTGCTCCTCTGCCCAGTAGGCTCCATGAAGCTTCACTCCTGCCGCTTGGCATCCTGGCCCGGCTCCAGCGGGAGGAATGGGAGCATCCTGCCCCAGCCTGGCCTGTAGATCCCTCCTGTAAGAGCAAACCCTTCACCCCAACCCCAGCTGAGGCCAGCGGGCCCCCTCCCCACCAGGGAGGTGTCACAGCCCCAAACATGGCCGAGGCGCTGTCGGACACACCACCTCTGCCACCCCCAGCAGCCTGGGGCGAAGGTGGCCGCTGCCCCAGTTCTCCCCGGGAGCCTCTCCTCCGGGGAGCGGGGTTTTAGCCACAGTCAGGGCAAACCGCTTGGCCTCAGATGTGGCTTAGG